GCCCCCCGCCCCGCCCCCACACCCACCGATCTGGCTGTCAGCCACAGAGTCGCCCGTGTACACCACAGCCGCCGCCGCTTCGTCCACCGCGGGGGGTGCGCTGTACCCCGGCACGCCGTACGCGCCGCCGCCGTCCCCGTTATAAGCGCCGTAACCGCCACCGGTGGCTGCGGCCTCCTCTCCGGGCACCGGCGGGACGACCTCATCCAGCCTTTGAGCCAAGTCCTGTTTGTAATGATGTTGTGATTTTGGGCGGATGATGACCTAGCTTGCCACGAGGGGTGCGTGGCAAGGCAGCTGCACACAACCCTCCGCCGAGGCAGGCGCCGCACACAATGCTTGATGCCCCGCCCGTCCCCGGCCCAAGCATGCGCGGGGGCTAGTGGGTGCGGCAGGTGGCAGGGGACCCGTCGCCACTGCGCTGCGGCGCGCGGCGCTGCCTTTGCTGCGCGGCGGCGCTGCAGCTGCTGAGCTGCGAGGCAAATGCTGTGCTGCGACGCTGCGGCGCTGCGGCGTCGCACCTGCGGCAGCGCGGCCTTCAGGTTTGAGAGGACGTCCGTCTCCACCCCCGCGCCCCGCTGCAGGAATTCGACCAGAGTGTCCTCCACCTCCTGCATGCATACGCATGCGCATGCGTGGTGAGGGGGGCGGGGGTGGGCGTTCGCACGGAGGTGCGTCCATGCGAGTGGCGAGGCAACGGCGGCCAGGAGCGGGGCGGCCACGGCCGCGGCAGGTGAGGTGCTGGGCTGGTGGCATGGCTCTGAGGGACTGCTCTGATGGGGGTGTTTGAGCTATCCAGAGGGCTTTTGCGGGCGAGGAGCGGGGTACGCGTGTTCCGCGGTACGGCGTGCCGCAGTGCAGCCCCACCTGCAGCACGAGCTGCTGCTTCTCATCGATCGGCCGCGGGCTCTGCACCAGCTCCTGGATCTTGGCCACGTCAGTCTGGCTGTAGATACAGGTGGACGGGGCGTTTCGTGGGTGCAAAGGCGGGATCTGTGGCCGGCGGCAAGGGCTGTCCCGTCGGGTGCCGCTGGTAGATCACTGCGCGAGGCGCGCTCGCAAACTCACATCATCTGCAGCCGTTCGGGCAGCGATACAAGAGCTCCGAGAGCGGCTCTTGGGCCAAAGGCCGCGATGTCGAAGGGAGTCTTGAGCCACTGCTCGACCTTGGCACCTGCAAGGTGTCGGTCGATGGGCCAGCGCTCGTGCTACAACCCGAGCGCAAATCCACAAACACGACTCGATCGGCAACCAGTGCTTGCCTGGCTGCGAGGTCGCCAGGACGCAAGTCGTCCTGGCCCTTGACAGCATCGCAGTCCTCATAGAGCTGGTTTGCTGCTTGTGCGCGTGCCGCGAAACAAATGAAAGTAAATTTTATGAATAGCGAGACTTCCTCCGTGATTATCTACGGCTAGAGGCCGGCGACGAAGCGAGGCACTAGCTCAGCACCGCCGCAACCGCAGCGCAGCGGGCATAGCGCGGCCTAGCAGATCACCATTCGCCTGGCATCACGTGAGCTTGAATGCAAAATTGGTGGCTGGGATAAGAAAATTGCGCAGCACGCTTGTTGTTTGGAGGGCGGCTTACCGCCGCTGGTGCTGCCTTGGTTGTTGCTCTGGGCGCTGGGCTGCGCCGTGGAGTCCCACCACCACTAGTGAGCCAACTTCAGATTCATCAGAAAGTGCGTCGTTTACCCACGTGTTTGGTCCACTTGCTGTACGGTAACAGGATTGGCTTGTTGGATTGACAAATGTTATGGATGGCACGCCAGCGTTGCGGCATGCCACAGATGAGTTCAGGCGCCGTCAGGCTGGGCACGGTATATCGCAGGGTATACAAGCGACCTGCCCCGCGCTCCCCCTTTGGCAGAGCGCAGGCAAATGAAAAGCTCAGCGACAGGCACACTATGGCACCCATACGGGCGGGGGCGTGCTGGTGGCACGCGGGGGCTCCGGGCAGCAAGACCCCCGGCACGCAACAGTGAGCACTGACACGCTCTGCAGGGATGCTGTGCAGGGATTCAATCTCAGTGGGCCAAGTGCGCACGCACATAGTTCTGACTCGTGCACCCACGCCTTTGCGCTTGTCGCACCCCCTCCCCCATCCACCTCCGTTGCAAGGGCCACGGTTGCAACCCCGATTCTAAAGCAAGAGCAGTGCGCTAGAAAGCAGCCCATTTTAAATGTAATGCTTGCAAGCAACGAGCCAAGCCAAAGGCTATCTCGGGGATCAGTGGGATGAAATGATGCGACACAGCAGCCCCCTCCACACCTTCTCCCCGGCCTCCAAAATTCGCGCAGCACAGCGTTTTCCGACGGCGCTCGAAAACAGCCGGCGACGCCTGGGGCTGCTCGCGCAGGCCTCGGGCCCTCAAGTGATCTCAGATCACGAGGGTCTGGTCGGCGCCGCGGACGCCGCAGGTGTTGATTGCGAGGTCGACCCTGTACTCGCAAACCAGCGGCGGCGACCCCTCCCCGTAAGACTTGCACGGCGTCCGCCCCTTGGTGCAGCACGGCTGCTTGTCGGCGCCGCAGGGCTGGCACACGCCGGCGATGCAGACCTCGCTCTTGCGGCAGTCGCCGTTGCCGGAGGGGCAGGCGCCGCCAATGAGCTTCTTGCCTATGTCGCCGTCCTTGCGGGCCTTCTTCCGCTGCTTATCCTTAGCATCCTTGCCGGCCACCGCCGCGGTCGCGTCGCTGGGCACTACCTTGGGCCCTGGCACGCAGATGCGGCCGTCCGGGCCCTCCGCGGCGATCAGGCCGTCGTCGCACTTCTTGCCTGGGAGTGGCGGGGGTCGGGGCGGGCGGGGCGGTGG